AAGTGCTTCACGGTTTCTGCCAAAAACAGAATCATTACACATCCTCCTCTTCCTTTTTCCATGACTTTGTGCAAATATACAGCTTGAGATGATTATGAGGCAACCTTTTTTTTTTGAAATTGCCAATCGCAATGGGGAAACTTAAACCATCGTGGCTTCCATTGTTCTGTTCATTGAGTGACCATTTGAAGTTACAACGGCACTGAAAAAAGTGACTTGTGACCATTTTTCACACTTATGACCATGGCAGAATCCCCATGATCAGGTGATTTACATTTGAATGCTTGACAACTGGTACATATTTATGGTGGTTGCAGTATCCCGGGATCATATAATCACTTTTTGCGACCTTCTGCCTAGCAAAGACAATGGGGAAGCCAGATTCATTTAACAACCGTGTTACTAATTTAACGACTTCAGTGATTCACTTAACAAATGTGGCAAGAAAAGTCATAAAATGGGGCAAAGCTCACTGAAACAAATTTCTCACTGAACCACGTAAATTTTGAGCTCAATTGTGGTCGTAAATTGAGGACTACCTGTATTTTATTCTCTCTCTTTTTTTTTTTACCCCTGTCTTCTTCAATGTGGTGCCAGATGTATTAGACTTCAAATCCCAAAATGCTAATACTACCTAGGAATTCTGGGAAATCTGAGAGTTGCAAAAGATGACAGATAGCTCTTCTGTTTAATGAAGTGACTGGAATTTCCACCACTAAAGTGATGAAGTTCTAAAAGGTGACCTCGCCTGACTTCACCTCTTCCACTAATGCCGTTAAGTGAATCCCATGAGGCTGTTATGCATGTCATCACATGGTTGCAATTTGCAACCTCCAACTTTCCCCACTGACTTTGCTTGCTCAAAGCAGGCAGCAAAAATGGTGGCAAATCAGGGGTGAAATCCAGCAGGTTCTGACAGGTTCTGGAGAACTGGTAGCGGAAATTTTGAGCAGTTCGGAAAACCGGTTAGCTGAAAATTTGAGTAGTTTGGAAAACAGGCAAATACCATCTATGGCTGGCCCCAGAGTAGGGTGGGAATGGAGATTGTGCAGTATCCTTCCCCTGCCACGCCCACCAAGCTACGTCCACCAAGCCACACCACATCCACCAAGCCACGCCCACAGAGCCGGTAGTAAAAAAAAATTGGATTTCACCACTGTGGCAAATGGAAATTACATGAATACGGGACACCGCAATATCATAATCGCCAGCTGGCTGACAAACACCTGGATTGTGCTTGTGGGGACACTGCAACAGCCACAACTGTAAGGTCCTATTTTAAGTTCCACTTGTTCAGCACCGTCACTAAGTTAACACAGTTGCTGAATGAGTGTCATTAAGCAAGAACTACCTGTCCAGTACTCCACACTTTATCAGAAAAGAGGTGAACATAATTCTGGTCCTATCAGCATCCATAACCAACATAAAAAAAACCCCCAAAATATTCAATAATTAACAACATGCTTCCCATACATTATAGAACGTTTTCCCGCTTCAAGAAAAATAATAATGCCTGTATTTTCTTTTATTCTTCTTTTATCCAACTTAAATATGGATTCACAACAAGCCAAACAATTTAACAGTTTCCCACAAACCAGCAATATTTTGAGTCGGGAAACAGCAGCCTCTTAACGTACAGTTAAGCATACAGCATTAGAAAAAAATCTTAACAGCATTGTACAACTGATCATTTGTGATTTGTTTCATTCTGTAGTGAAGTCGCATTTCATTTCAACAATAATTTGTTTCTCGTTCTATCTGGGCAGGTGCTTCCCTCCCACCCTCTAAAAGCAATATTTCAAATGAAATTGGTTTTGAAGGAACTTTTTATGAATATACATAATGGAAAAGGCCCCAATTAAATTTCAACAAAATGTTGCCATTTTCAGTAAACAAAGGTTTCTCGGCAGGGTCAGGTTTTATGCTAAGATACCCGCTTGGAAATTAATTACCACCCTGATACATGTCAAAATACATTTTTGAAAGGGAATAGCATTCAATTGCAAGTGTGTGTTTTATCTGATAGGATGCAAAAAAGAAAAGAAATCAAATCAGCATTCTTTACCAACTACATTTATTCAGCGCCCCTTAGAGAAATCAAAAAGTCTTGTTAGCCTTTTCATCTTCTTTTTCTTCTTGTTGCTTTTTTTCCTCTTTCTCTTTTTTGAAACTAAGTGGAATCTTCACCAAGCCACATGTGTTTGTCGAGCCAGAAAACAAGCACAGAAAACAAGGAAGTGGAAGGTGTTCCTTTCGAGAAAATCAGGTGTCATCTCCTCATACAACTTTATGAGGTGCTATAACAAAGCACACCTCATCCCCAATTTCCCCCAGTAACTAGAGGAACTGAACTGTGAAAGTTCTTGCAATTATATAACAGCATTTACACAGAGAACAAAAAGTCATTGTGATGTTCTTTCAGCCCGAGATAGCCATTACCAGCTGATCAAAACCCATTGAGGAAAAGAATTAAAAGAAAAAATAAACTACTGAAGAAACTGGCATTTGAAGTTAACAATTTTCAGATGCCACCTAACTCTGAATTCTTCCACAAGTTATATTATGTTGAACAAGTGAAACATGTCAATTTCCTTGCTTTATGGTGCCCAATCTTTTCATCCAACTCCCCAAAAGGCGAATGTTGAGGGAAGGGAAAGACAGAAAGAAGGAGAAAGGAAGAGAGGAAGAGGAAAGGGAAAGGGAGAGAGAGAAAGAGAGAGGGAGAGGGAGAGAAATTAGTCTAGTAGTTAAGGCATTGAGCTAGAAATAGGGAGACCAGTATTACAGCTGGGTAGTTTTTCTGTCCAACTGGGCTAGTTTCTGAGATTGGTTATGGGAAATTTTTGGCATTTGCAGGTTGTGTCCTTTTGGACTACACTTGCTTTAAGCTACAAAAATTTGGGGCATCTGACAATATTGCAGGACACCATACATTCTAGTCCTGTCTTAACCATGAAGCCATCTGGGTGACCTTGGCACAGTCCTCTCTCAGCTCTGAGAAGCCATTTCCAAAAACTTGTCAAAATTGCAGGGACTTGTACAGGAAATTACACCAGATGTCAGTGCTGACTCAAAGGCTATATACTGTATATGGCACATACATATACAATACCAGCTCTTTATCGTAATGATCAAACGAATGAAAGTAAAAATGAATCTTGCAAAATGGAAGAATTCTGAATTAGTAAATAAACTGGGGAAGTGGTTAGCATATAAACTAAGAAAAAAAGTGTGAAGAAATAGATTAAAATTACAAAATAGGAATGTTATCATAATGGATGATATGGATATGCAAAGAGTATTATATCAGTATTGTACAAAACTATACAAAGGAGAAGAAATTTTCCCAGCAAAAGTGGATGAATGTTCAAAGAACCAAAATTTAGCAAAAATGATGGATAAATAAAAGTAGATGGAATGGACCTATAACAGTAACGGAATGTTGTGAGGCTACAAAAAAACAAAAACCACTAAAATAGGAAAACTCCAGGCCTACACAGATTGCAAACCTCCTATTATAAATATTTAAATATTTTGAAGATGAACTTTTATAACATCTTCAAAAAATGAATTCTATTCTGGATAGATTTAGGATACCAGAAAGTTGGTCAGCTGCAAATATAGCATTAACTCCTCAAGAAGGCGAAAACCGGACTATCGAAAAAAATTACTGGCCAATATCTTTATTGAGCAATAATTTAAAAAATATTTAGCTAAAAGGTCAAAAAGTGTCTTACATGATTATATACATGATGAGCAATGTGTCTTTTTGCCTAAAATATGGTTAAGAAGCAATATTAGAAATATTTTCTTAACATAGTAAAATATTCGTAACAACATATTGAAAATCAAACCGCGTTGAAATTTGTGAACTTGGAAAAAGCATTTGATAACCTGAATGTGTAAGAGATATCTTTCTGTTTTTTCTATTGGCAATGCCATCAAATCTTTACTTACAGAAAGTCTGTGGTTGGATTAGACTTCTTTTTAAGGATATAAGAGAAGGAAAATGAAAGGACAGATTTTGAATCAAGGAAAAACTAGTGCAGCTCATAAATGCCACACCATGCAGGTGAACTTTGTCTCTTGGTCTGGAAGCATCTTTTTGTGCCTTTTTATTAGAATTAGGCTTTTCACTTTAACTGAAGTCATTCTTTGTTCGATCCAAATCCTAATGAGGCAAGGCATTGGAGATCTGGCTATCTTCCCAGACATTTGGGTCAGGAGATAGGTAAGTTCTGCTACTATTGATTATGAGTGGGTTATCCTTGGGTGTATGGAAGGTTAAATTTGGTGGGACTGTTTGCTTTAATCTTGTCAGCTGCCCGGTCATCTATATAAATCATATAAATTATATATTTTTAAAAATAGTTTGCATTAATTGCGATCAAAAATTGCTAGTATCGCAGGTTCAACTTATTCACTGCAAATTAAATAAGATATTTAATCTGGATTTGAGCTGTGGGACAAATTGTACTTTTTAATAAGTCCAGACTGGTTCCTTAATTAGCTTCTGTATTAGGAAGGAAGGAAGATACCCCTAATAAGTTAGCACTTAATTTATCTGAAGCATTTCTATACCACTCTTCGTTTCATTTTGTATTTGAGGGCCCTGTGAAATTCATTCAATCATTTAGAACATGCAGTAATTACTTTTTTGCTACTTAAATGTGTACACAAATTAAAACCGCAGGAAGACTGCAATAAGCTTGCCAGTTCAGGCCATTACATAATAGAGAATGTATCCAATGCAACGTCAGGATTAATGACTGTATATTAACATTTTTCCTATTAATGTTATTCATTTACTCATCCAGGCTTTAAATCATAGTATAACTGAAAGCCACCGAGCAATACACAAAGCCAAGTACTGTGAAGTCTGCAATGCAAATTCTTCCTTGATGAGGCTAGTTTTCCATTCAGTGAAGGAGCATTTTTTTTATCGCTCCTTATCAATGTTTTTTTTTTTCTTAATGAATTGGAAAAATAAATTGTGTTACCTCTCTTAATACTGTGCTTTTATAACCTCGGTAGAGTCCTGGGATACCCTAAAAAAATCAACAAAGAAAACCGATCAGCTACTGCAAATTGTTAGGAAAGGCTGCCAACATATTGAGGATTACATGATAAGCAGAACAGCTTTACTGAGGATAATGTAATGGCTTCCAGGAAATTGACAATATTGATTATAAACACACTACCTATTGATTTCCTGAGTTTTATCTCACTTTTGAATGAGTTCGTCAGCTAGAGCTGCACATTGAAGAGATAATATTTAGTTAGTAACCTAGAAGAACCAAGACAGAAAGAAATCTATTGCTGATGCTTATAATCAGCGGCTATTCAAAATATGTATCATAAAAGAAAGTGGAGGTTAACTTTGACTTATGACTGTAATGGAGATCAACATTTCCCTCTTAAGTCATGATGGTTGTATGTTGAAGCAACCTGGTGACTGACCTGATTTTACAAACTTTTTAGCAGTGGTCATTAAGCAAACACCAGGTCATTAAGCAAACAACGCAGTCTTTAAATGAATGTCACAATCATTAAATGAGTCAGTGCATTCCTATGGGCATTTTTTCTTTGGTTGCAAACCAGCCAAAAAGGCAACTTGTAAATTATCTCATGTGACATGGAATGCTACAACTAGCCGTAAAGGTCAGCTGGTTGTCAAGTGTCCAAAATGCAATCATGTGACCATTTGTGTGTGTGTATGTCTGTGTGTGTTGCCATCAAAACTCCAAAAGTGGTTCACAAGTAACTTTTGAGGTGTCCATCATAATGAAGTGACTGGTTGTTAAGCAAGAACTACTTGTAAGTTAAATTTAGGGAAAATTAAATCTACTGCTTTTAACAGATTTAACAGCAAGATGGACAACAAAGAAATTTAATAAATTAAAATAAATTTTAAAAAACTATACTGATTTCATTGTCATGAAAGCGTCAAATTTCGTATTTTGTTTCTCTTGTCAGTTACTTTCCAATGTAATAATTAAAATGCTCGATTTTTTAAAATAATACTTAATAACTTAGAAACAATTTAATTAATTTAAAATAATTGTAATAATTAAATGATTAAAATGAATAACATAATAGAAGTTATTTGGATTAACTTATTTCAATTAAATTCTAATTAAAAATAAAAACAATATGAGGCCCTGCAATGCTCGTCTCCAGCATCTTATTTTACTGCCAAGAATTTCCCGTTTAAGTACTCTTAAAAATTTTTTTAAGATAGTTGCCTCAGCTAAGTGTCCCCATCTGCTGTAATAAAGAAAAATAAAATTTCTGGAAAGTTAGAGCCAACACCATTATACAGTTACCATAAGACTAAGAGAGTCCCCATTATCTGAAAATATATGCACATACAGTTTGCACTCCATGGAAAGCATAAAAGCAAACATCTAAGGAAGCCAGTTGAAGAGACAAATGAACAAGTAGCAATTAATCCATTAATGGCCCAGCAATGGCCCAGCAATGACAACTATAAAAGCTGGAGAAGATAAAGTGCTTCTTATCTAGATAAGAGCTTCCGTTTCTCTCATACTGGTGTTTGGCAAGTTCTAGTTAGGAGAGATAACTGGAGATATAAGTGTGTGGGTGCCTACAGTATTTTGTTAAACCAGTAATGCTTTATTCTTGACAGAACTTCTGATTCTTATGAAAGTTAGGGATAAATATCTCACTGAACACTCAGGGGTCATGGCAGCCATGTTGTAAATAGCCAAATCACCCCATACCCATTTTTCAAAAGTGTTCACAATATCTCCTCATGATGATGTATCCTTCAATCCTTCAAAGTTAGTGACTTTCCTGAATATACTATTTATCCGCTCCAATAAGTTAGAGACTTATTGGCCTACCCCCCTGACTTTTCTTCAACCTTACCTCTTCATAGACGGTTTGGGAAAGGATCCGTAAGGTACTGGAAGACGGGGACACTTGTGCTCTTTGCTTCACAACTTCAGCAGGAACTCGTATTAGACAAGCAACCTGAAAAAAAATACATAATTTAGACTAAAGTAAGATTTTGGTGGAGGATTACAATGGCCAAGAAACCTGTGGCCTTAATGTGAGCAGTGGAGGACTAACACTACACCATATACTACAGAAATCAGATGTCAGAAGGAAGGCCGATAAAATATCCACAGATCCCTCACATCCTGGATATGAACTGTTTCAACTCCTCCTCTTCGAAGCCACTATAGGCATTGCATGCCAAAACAGCTAGACCTAAAGATTGTTTTTCCCTCATGCCATCACTCTGCTGAACACCTAATTCACACGGCACTGTCTTATGCTTAAGGATATTTACCCATGCAGTATGGCTGTAGTGTTATTATTATCCTTCTCATCTTTTCTACTACCCCATCTTATTGGTATCATATTATGATTATTATTACTCTCTTGTTTTGCATTTACATTGAGAGTTTCTGCCCCGGAGACAAATTCCTTGTGTGTATAATCACACTTGGCTGAATAAAATGTTCTCTATTCTATTCTATTATTTCTATTTCTATTATTTCTATTTATTTTTATTTTATTTAGTTTCCCCGAAAATAAGACATCCCCTAATTATTTTAGCATGCGCTAAAATAAGCCTCCCCCCCACCGAAAATAAGCCCTCCCCAAAAAAATTTAAACACAGAGCTGGAAATCAGGTAAGATGGCAAAAGGAGCCCCATCTTGCTCCACGCACCCCAAAATAATAAGACCTCCCTGAAAACAAGGCCAAGCGCTTATTTCGGGGTTCAAAAAAATATAAGACAGGGTCTTATTTCCAGAGAAACACAGTATTTATACTTCTATTATTCCTATTTATTCCTATTTCTATTTAATTCTAAATCTGTTCTGTTCTATTTTCTTCACTGGTGATGATATGGCATAGTGAGTATAATGGGTAGCCTTGTCAGAACCTGATCTCTAACAGCACACAAGTAAATAATTCAGGAGGATTCATTTATAGAAGAAACTTGTTTATATACAATAAAATAAAACATGATGCATGTATACAATACCCATGCAGCTCTTGCAATGTGACAGCAAGTACAAGGACAAGAAGTAGAAGCAGAAGGGAAGATCAGAACTAGAAGAACTCTTTGTTGTGCTCCACCAGCAGCCTATGGAGCTGGCAGCAGAGTCGGACAGTGAGGAGGCTGGGGAGGATCATGGGCCAGTCCTGGAGTCTGGGGAAAGCTCGGACGAGGGCTCTGCGTCGGAGGCAGAGATGGGGCCAGGGCCATCTGGGAGTTATGAACGGACTCTGGAGCCAGAGAGGCAAAGGAACAGGAGGAGCCTGTTCCTAGTGTATGCATGTGCAGAGCTGCCAGAAAGTAAGAACAGTTCAAGCAAAAGGGATGACTCGGGAGTAAGGCCTGGAGATAATTGGCCCCTCCCATAAGGCTTAAAAGAGGAGCAAAGGCACGTGTGCACTTTGCAGGAAAGCAACGCTGTTAATTCTGTTCCTAGTCGGCATCTCTGTTTGATTCTGGACTCCATGTGGCTTTGCCAGATAGGTCTTTGGCAGCATGTCAAGGGAGATAAAGGTTGGTGATTATCCCGAAGGACTTCTCCCGAAGGACTTTTTGCAACTAATTGGGACTCAGCTGTGAATGAACGTAATTCACAGCTGTTGCAATAAAAGAGGTTTTTGGGACTACTCATGTGTTTTAATGACTCAGGAAGCCGAGGCCACAACACTCTTATATACACAGACCAGTTAAGCTAAGCCATTCCCAGGCTCCAAGCCATCTCATATGGCTCACAACAGATCCTGTTTCTTAGTCACCAAACAGTTCCCATTGGCTGACCTGTTGTTACCAGCTCGTAATTTCTTATACACTGACATGATTCAAATTCTGGTGTTCCAAAAACAAACAAAAACAAACCTCAACCTCCTCTTCTCAAGTCGGTCGGTAGAACTTTCTCTTTTTATAGGTTTGTCAAGATGAATTGAGTTCCTCGATAGAACGGTGACAATTTCACCTTACATCAGAACTCTTCAGCTGATTGCATTTATTTTATTGTACATGTCACAAAGAGCTAATGGCAAAGAGCAGTCATTCCGTGTGCTTTCAAGCTACAGGCTACCTACAGAAATAAATTATTCCCACTGATTTTGACCCAGATAGTTACTTGATGACTCTTGAAAGTCAATCCTCAATAGGTTTCTAGATGTATTGGGCCACTTATCTTATTCCTTATATGAGTGAGGGAAAACATGGGTTTCCCTGCATTGAACGCTTGCATTGTAATCAACCCACCAACCTATTAATTTTTCCCATTTGATATTTTTCTTTGACAAATGTTATGAAGGATCAGTATAGTCATAGAAACATAGCATGGAAAGGATTTAAAGGTCAGCTAGATGAAACCCTGCCCAATCAAAAATCTACAGTAGCATCCCTGACAGACAGTCATCCAGCATGTGAGAGGGAGAGAGAGGGGGGAGGGAGAGAGGGAGGGAGAGAGATCACTACCTCCCAAATCTGTCTGTTTCACCTTTAAATATTACTTACCAATAGGAATCTTTTTCTGATGCTCAACCAAAATCTTGCATTTTAACTCTATTATCCCTTATACTGTCTTCCGAAGCAATTTTCTGTGAATTGAATGAATACCTATATCTTCAGGTACTTTTTTTTCCTATCTTCCTTTTTTTGAGGGTTGCCTTAAACATTTTATTATATGGGTCAATACTGCCATCTAGTGATCAAGAGTACTTCATAGCTACAGGTCTATTTTTCTTACGAAAGATTGACACTAACTCTTTCAAATGTTTACAGGGACAATGGGGGAAAAAATCACAAGTTTTGTGATCTACATCTACCTCTATACTACTAAAACTCTTGTCATTACCGTTAAATGGGCAAAACAGTGCATCACAGGGCAAGAATTTTTGAATCAAGCTACCTCAAAAGGGCTTAGATGCATCCAATGCATCCGAAATCAAGAGACCTGTAACTCCTGTGGGAATTAAATTTGGGGACGCTGTGGCTGCTTTGAGCTGCTGCTATGGTCGTATGATGGCCATTTTGAACAGTCTGTGGCAATTTCCCAGCCAGTCTTGCAATCCCTTGCTCCTGCCCTCACCCAATAGCAAGGAATTGGTTCATCATGTGGCTCTTAAAGAAACAATGGCTGTGTGAAAAATGGTCATAACTCACGCACTGTTGTAACGGTCATAACTCAAGTGCTGTTTTTTCAGTACTGTTGTAACTTCAAACAGTCACTAAATGAACTGTTGTAAATCGAGGGCTATCTCTACATTGGAAAGATTCATAATCTGAATTGCATTTCTCACTGTGGGAACCAGGCAGTGAAATTAATCTAAATAAAAATAACAGAAAGCCACAGAGGCCACATGCAACCTTATTTGATCTCTTACAGTAAGCTGCCAAAAATTCAGCAGAAAAACCACCTATTTTCACCTATTTTCTGTAGAAAGTAAGGGACAAAGTAAGCATGTTAAGCATTCACAATTTTTTTAACCATCCATTTTCCCCCTTAAATCCCCTACAAATCTCATCCCAATAGATTTGAAAGGACAGAAATTCATCATTGCTGTGTTACAAGTCATGTAGTCCTTTCACTTTTGGATTCCAAAATATGATATTTTACAATAATATGTTAAACATGAATAATACGTTTACTCCTCATCCCTCCAATCATTTCTGCTGTCTGGTTTGGTGCAGCACACTTCATCTTGAGCTCTATGGACACTCACTATGAGTGACTGTAACCTAGACTTTAGCATTCAGAAGATTGGACCCTCAAAAAAAAAAAAAAAAAAAAAAAAAACCAAGATCTTTTCAAAACAGGTATGCCTCAAAAACACAGTTTTCATCAGTAAAATTTTATCATTTAACTTGCTTGGCGTGAACTTCTTATCACAGGCCAGTATCATCAATCATTCTTTTTTTATCGCACTAACTCATCACCTAATCAGAGGAGACAGACTGAGGTGTGATCAGAAAGCATGATGTGAAAGTTAACAATGAAGCTGCTGCTTCATGACCCAGACAAAAATGGGCACACTGTGTCCTGACATTGCCAGAGTGAAGCAATCCTTCCTCTTGAAGTAATAAGCTGGTCTGCATTAGTAGTTGTGGTCTTTATGACCCTGTAGCTGGGTCTCCTCGCAGCCATGGAGGTCCACTGGGTCACTCAGTCCAACCCATTTCACAAGGCTATCGTTTTAAGAATAAACTTGGAAGAGGGAAGGAGAGCTATGCAAACTTGAAGCCTGGAAGAAACCTTAAAAGAAAGAACCTTAGGTCCGTCTCTGTATCTCTCTCTCTCTCTCATCTCTCTTTCTCTCTCTCTCATCTTTCTCTCTCTCTCTCTCTCTCTCTCTCTCATCTCTTTCTCTCTCTCTATCTTTTTTTCTCTCTCTCCCCCTCTCATCTCTCTTTCTCTCTCTCTCTCCTCTCTCTCTCTCTCTCATCTCTCTTTCTCTCTCTCTCTCTCTCTCTCATCTCTTTCTCTCTCTCTCCCCCTCATCTCTTTCTCTCTCTCTCATCTCTTTTTCTCTCTCTCTTCCCCTCTCATCTCTCTTTCTCTCTCTCATCTCTCTTTCTCTCTCTCATCTTTCTCTCTCTCTCTCATCTCTCTCTCTCATCTCTCTTTCTCTCTCTCTCTCTCTCTCATCTCTTTCTTTCTCTCCCCCTCATCTCTTTCTCTCTCTCTCATCTCTCTTTCTCTCTCTCTCATCTCTCTTTCTCTCTCTCTCATCTCTCTTTCTTTCTTTCTTTCTCTCTCTCTCTCTCTCTCTCTCTCTCTCTCCCTCTCATCTCTCTTTCTCTGTGTGTGTGTGAGAGAGAGAAAGAGAGAAAGATGGATGGATGGAGATAGACAGACAGATGATATAAACTATAGCCATATTAGCGTCATTGGCATTAAAGCTAGCTTAGCTATTCTGAGAGTTGTGGCCCCAACAATTTTGAAAGGCCCTTGGATGAAGAAGGCTGGGGATCATAGTCCGATAGCTCTCCTGAGAGTTAAACTAAAAGGCCAATCACAAAAAATAAATCTTGAAAATGTTAATTGTAAGGGAAGACTTAAGTCACAGCTACGGAATGAAAAAGAGGGAGGGGGGGCGGGAAATGATATGAAGTCTACTGCTGATCCAGGGCTGTAATCCCCATATAATCTACAAATATATATCCATGTCCAAGGGACGCAGTGGCTCAGTGGCTAAGACGCTGAGCTTGTCGATCGAAAGATCGGCAGTTCAGCGGTTCGAATCCCTAGTGCTGCGTAACAGGGTGAGCTCCTGTTACTTGTCCCAGCTTTTGCCAACCTAGCAGTTGGAAAGCATGTAAAAAATGCAAGTAGAAAAATAGGGACCACCTTTGGTGGGAAGATAACAGCGTTCCGTGTGCCTTTGGTGTATAGTCATGCCGGCCACATGACCACAGAGACGTCTTTGGACAGCACTGGCTCTTCAGCTTTGAAACAGATGAGCACCGCCCCCTAGAGTCGGGAATGACTAGCACATATGTGCGAGGGGAACCTTTATCTTACCTATATCCATGTCTACTACGTAGCCAGGACTACCTGTAACTACTATACTGTTCATCCCTTTGAACAAAACTCTTGGAGTTCGGGGGTTAGGAGGAAACAGCAACATCCACAGCATAGTAAATCCTATAAACCAAAGTAATATGGGTAGTAAAAAAACAGAAAGGGAACGTGCCTGAATATAATTCCCATAAAAACCCTGTGGGCAGCTGCTCAGATAGCTGACAGTTCTTAATTTGCTGGTTTAGCCTTTAATTGCGTGATGAATCTGCTGGCGTTGCTTGTAACTCTCTGCTTCCATTCATCTTGATTTACAAGCAATTTCAAGCTGCAGCTGTAATTTAAGTTTCCCCCAATATAACTGTCCTTCATTTTCTCCACCAGGTTCTAGTGGCAGAATCTCATTTTTTCCCCCCAGCACTTTTAACAATATGTTATCTGCTCTCTTGCACAGGAGTTTGGCAGAATCCTAGCATCTTTATAACATGAACAAGCCCAAAAGTTTATCAATATTTCAGAACCTACTGTGATTCATTCAAGAGTCACTGCTCATGTCCTATCGGTCCCTTTGTTGTACATTGGATTATAGACATCTGATTTATGCAGCTGAGGTTCATACAACATTCAAAACCAAAGCAGGCTACATTATACCATGTTTTCCCGAAAATAAGACACTGTCTTATATTTTTTTGAACCCTGAAATAAGCGTTTGGCCTTATTGCCATGTGCTCACAAGCCCGATTGGGCTTATTATCAGGGGATGTCTTATTTGGGGGGAAACAGAGTAGTTTGGAGCAGCATGTGAATCTATAATCCATACTTTAAAGCTTTAGATCTTGTTCAAGCCAGATAAATAGTTGACTAATGCAAACGTTTGTTTAATAATTATTTACTTAATAGACCTCATTTTGTTTAATATTGTTTTACCATAAAAAAATAAAATACAAACAGTAAAACAAACAGAATGAAACAAAAGCATATATTCAACCCTAACAAAAACAACAACAAAAGAAAAATATAGTGTACAAAAGAAGAGGGAAAAGTGATCATTTAAATTTAACATGTAGGATCCACCCTGGCTGGGTGTTGAAAAAAAAAAAGCAGTAAATTCTCCTCCCCCTTTTACAAATTATGTATATGTCTATGTTATGAATAAAGAAGAAAAAGCAGTCAACAGGTTATTTAAAAAAAGACCTCATTTTGTTTGGATATGCTGAAACATAAACCCTGCATTCATACAACACAGTAATCCAAAACCAAGCTATATTGTGAATGAAAGAGTTAAGTCATGTAACTATAGTGCCTGTAGGGACTACAACTAGTCCTCCACTTACGAACATTCATTTAGTGACCATTTGAAGTTACAACAGCACTGGAAAAAGTGACTTATTATACCGTTTTTCACACTTTCAACCATTGCAGCTTCTTCAAGATCACGTGATCGAAATTCAGATGCTTGGCAACTGGTTCATATTTTCATAACCAGTTTTTCTGGTTCACCAGTTTTTGTGAATCATATTTAGTGTTCATAGTTGCAGTGTCCTGGGATCACACGATTACCTTTTGACAAGCAAAATCAATGGGGAAGTCAGATTCACTTAACAACTGTCTTACTAACTGAACAACTGCAGGGGTTCACTTAACATCTACGGCAAGAAATGGGGCAAAACCAGGAGTGAAATCCAGCAGGTTCTGACAGGTTCTGGAGAACCGGTAGCGGAAATTTTGAGTAGTTTGGAGAACTGGCAAATACCACCTCTGGCTGGCCCCAGAGTGGGGTGGGAATGGGGATTTTGCAGTATCCTTCCCCGGAGTGGGGAGGGAATGGGAATTTTGCAGTATCCTTCCCCTGGAGTGGGGTGGGAATGGAGGTTTTGCAATATCCTTCCCCAAGAGTGGGGAGGGAATGGGGATTTTGCAGTATCCTTCCCCTGGAGTGGGGTGGGAATGGAGGTTTTGCAATATCCTTCCCCAGGAGTGGGGAGGGAATGGGGATTTTGCAGTATCCTACCCCTGGAGTGGGGAGGGAATGGAGGTTTTGCAATATCCTTCCCCTGCCCCACCCACCAAGTCACGCCCACCAAGCCATACCACGCCCACCAAGTCACGCCCACAGAACCGGTAGTAAAAAAAATGAATTTCACCACTGGGCAAAACCCACTTAACAATTGTCTCGCATAGCAACAGAAGTTTTGGGCTCAATTGTTATCGTAAGTCGAGGACTACCTGAGTAATGACTCTCTGGGTTTCAGTCTGATCCCAGGCCACCTGGGACCTTCTCTAGGCGAAGCATGCTCTGGATCACTCAGCCATGGAGCCTCCTTAAAACAGAGAGCATCACAATTGGTAGCTGAGCAGCTTCAAGGACCACTTGCCTGCTTCTCCAACAGAAAGCAGCAAGGTAGAAGTCAGCTCTCCCCTGATGAGAATTCACAAGGAGCTGCCAATGAAAGCGCCTCCTATCCTTATCCAACTCAATCAGAGCAATCTATACAGTAAGGCCATGATTTTGCAATACACTCAACATTCTGAGAACATAAAACAGCCATTTCATAGGAACCTAAACTTGTGCCTGCATCTTATTACTACATATCTATAGACCAGCCATTTGTTACAGTCCAACAACAATTAAAGTGTGGGGAGGGAAGCCGTGCTGAAAGTTGAGGCCTGCTTACCAAATAATAGCCTTTCCCTGTGGTTGTGGCTTGATTAAAGTCTAATGACTAATCAATAAAGCTATAATTACAATTTTTACCCTTTTGTGTGCAATTTGGGACACAAAGAAGAATCAATCAAAGATGGTTCAATAGCATTTGGCAGGGGAGAAGGGAATGAGAAACTCCCACCCACTTGTACCAGCTCTGGGGCCAGCACACCATGGCTCCAGGTTCTTGGCTCAGCTATTTGCAACCAGCAAGTTAGATAAGAAAAAGTATAACCCATCTACTATTTGCCCATTCTAACTAAATGGCCAGGTAGGTATCTGAAGATAATACTGATACCCAATTAGCTGAAGTGGGCAATGCTGTGGGTGGGTGGTCACATCCTTCCTGGAGGATGCTTGGCGGTGGGAAGAAACAGGTGCATATACCGTATTTTTCGGAGTATGAGATGCTCCGGACTATAAGACGCACCTACCTTTTTTGGGGAGGAAAACAAGGGGGAAAAAATCTGCCTCTGCCTACTAATATCCGTCGGTATTCATCTGGCTAGCATCCTTGCAGCAAACAGCAAACAGCCTGGTCAGCTTCAGCAGGTTATCGCAGCCTGATTTATCATGAACAGCTAATTGGCAGTTGGATTGGGCTCCCGGAATACTGCCAATCAGCTGTTCCAGGCTGCAGAGATCGCCAGAGCCCATTGCCGTCTCTGCATGTCACATTTTCAGCCTCCGCGCATCGCGTTTTCAGCCTCTGCACGCCCCACTTTTGGCCTCCGTGCGTCGCATTTTCAGCTGGTTCCAGAAGGCAGGGATTGGCGGCGGCAGCAGCTGCCTGGAACTGGCCGAAAATGCAACACACGGAGGCCAAAAATGGGGCGAGAGGATGCTGAAAATGCGATGTGGGGAGACCAAAAACGTGACACGCGGAGACCAAAAACGGCAGAAGGATGGGGGCTGGTGGGTCGGCGGGGCTTCAGCAACATTCGGTGTATAAATCGCACCACAATTTTCACCCACTTTTTTTGGGGGGGGGGAGTGCGTTTTATACTCCAAAAAATACTGCATCTCTCTAACACAAAGTTATTTTCCAAAGTAAGGGTAGCCTTAGAAGAAGCATTGCAGATTTTCAATTGGGCCAATGTTTTTCAACCTCAATAACTTTTAAGATGTGTGGACTTCAACTCCCAGAATTTTTCCACTAGCATATTGGCTGTGGAATTCTGGGAGCTGAAGTCCACACAACTTAAAGTTGCTGAGGTTGAAAAACACTGAACTAGCCTATTCAATCAGCCATTCCTAAAATGGAATTGTGTGGATTGATTTATCCATACTCTAACAGCTTCAAAGAAGGACTATTGCAAGGATACAGTAGATATATATGTCTCTCTCGGTGTTGGTAAATCCATGTTTTATTACTGATGTACCTTGTGGGGTAGTGATTTAAGATAAGGCCATTTCATAGAAGAACCACAATTATGGATCCTTCTTCTAGGAGATAGAGTTGACCCTAGTGCCACTGAATTTTAGTTATCTTCTACAATTGTATTTACTTTAGATGAGATGTCATATAGTTCTGAAGCTACAGTATCTATCTTTTTTGTAGCTGCTAAATACACTGTCATGAGTGTATGCTTTAATTATTTGTATGTTATATAATCATTATTATCTTATACATTACTACCCAGTTTCTCCAGAAAGTAGGAAAAATTGTAACCATTCGATTGTGTAAGCACATTTCACTACAGGTAAACTTTTACTTACTACTTCTCCAAAGGAGGCAGCCATCATGTGAATAACTGGAGTGAAATATGGAGAAGCATCTGTGTGCAGGACAGCTTTCGTATATTCGTAAGTGACAAAAAAGGCAGCAGCTGAAACACAAGATAGAATGTCTCTTAAGTCCCCTAAGATTCCTTATGATTACATACAATGTTTGTACAATAGACAATAAATATGAAAGAAGATGAAGATTGTCCCTTTGCTTGCAGGAACCATCATATTTACAAATATTCTCCATAGTATCATGCATCTTTCCCTCCATTCCAGTTTTTTTTAACTAGCCATGCTGCTATGATATAGTCATTTTGTGAGGGAGCAAGCCATCTCTATGATAATTCTCTTCATGTTGTCAAATTGTCTGATATATCCAACAACCAAGATGACTAGCTCCCCCGCTATCTAACACACAATCTTCCAGAGATGGAGTTTTAGTAACACAGCCAGGGTGGATTTGATTTAAATTGAGTCGATTTAAATCATGATTTAAATCATGATTTAAATCACTAGTAAAGACTTGATTTAAATCAACTCGATTTAAATCATAATTTTTAAAGAGCAACTGTCATCTCTGCTACTCCTTTGACCCACTGTTGACTCACCGATAGTCCCAGTGTTGCAGAATATACAGCCTTGTGCTACATAACTAAGCTCCATTTCATTCTGAATAAACTAAATTATTTATGTATCTTAAATAGAAAACTATCTTACGATAGATTTTTACCCCAAAAGTTTTTTATTAAAATAAATGCAATAAAAATCAAAAAAATCTGATTTAAATCAAAAAAATCTGATTTAAATCAAAAAAATCCGATTTTTTTTATTTTTTAAAAAAAAATCATTGATTTTTATCCACCCTGAACACAACCTTTCTTTTTTTCCAAGTCAGCAGGATCCAAAAATGATAAAACTAAAAATGACAATATGGAAACATGATAAGGCAACTAGAAAAGTCAAATGATTGTCTTCTTGGAAATAAAACAAATACCAACAAACAAAAGGTTGGACATTTGGGGGCCAATCATATGATGCTTTCTTGGTATGTGGAGGGTGTGAGGTCCTGGATTAGGAAGAACAGCCTTCAGCTGAACCAGTGGTGGGATTCAAAAATTTTTACTACCGGTTCTGTGGGCGTGACTTGGTGGGCGTGGCTTGGTGGACGTGGCAGGGGAAAGATACTGTAAAATCTCCATTCTTTCCTCACTCCAGGGGAAGGTTATTGCAAAATCGCCATTTCCTCCCAATCAGCTGGGACTCGGGAGGCAGAGAATAGATGGGGTGGGGCCAGTCAGAGGTGATATTTACCGGTTCTCTGAACTACTCAAAATTTCCGCTACCGGTTCTCCAGAACTGGTCAGAGCCTGCTGAATACCACCTCTGAGCTGAACCCTAGCAAGACTTTGAGAGTTAGGAGTACACAGATATACTGTCTTATATTTTGTTATTTTGTACATTTTTAGCATTACTTAGCTGCTTAGTGTCACTACAGTGAGATAGGCAGTAATATTACTTTAATACAATTCACTTCAGGAAGTTCTCGACTTATAACCACAATTGGGATCAGAATTTCCATCTTTAAGCAAGGTGGTGGTTAAGTTAGTCTCGCCCGATTTTATTTTATTTTATCTGCTTCCCCCATTGACTTTGATCGTTGGAAACCATCTGGGAAAGTCACATATGGGGATCTCATGATCCCAGGCTGCTGCAACTATGGTCAGTGTCCTACCATTTATTCTTTATTTTAACAGCATTTTGGTCCAGATCCAAAGCATTGAATCCCACCTTATTAACACTATGTTCTAGAATTAAAATGTTTTTAAATGATTTTTGAAAAACCATGTCCCTTTAAACACTGGGCAACTGAAGCCAGCAATTTTAAAATAGTTTTTAAGAGAAAAATACCAGGGATGCTCTTACTCCAGGTAGAGAATATCTAAATCTGATAGAAGTCCTATCTTCAGGTAGCAGAACATTTTGTTGATGTGGACATAAAATGTTAAAAAAAATTTACACAGATCAAAGAGATGAGAATAGAAGCTCCAAAGACTCACCAATGTAACGTGTTACTTTATTTCAATCACTTATTCACTTATTCAATTCAATGAATCCCCAAACTAGCTTACAAAACTTCCCTAAATTTTAAAAAAGCAATTGAAGGATTTAGCATGGGAACTTCTGAGACAAAGAAAACAAAAAACAAAGCAAAACATAAAGGTAAAAATGAATACATATAAACCATTTTACTTCTTGCATCAAATCAAAAACCATGTCTTTTCCCACCTCTTGTGTTTTCTAGGACTTCTGCACATATATAAGCAATTTTGTAATTCAACCCAATTCAGTCAGGTGTTATTCTAAATATCTTTTTTTTTCCTTCTAAAATTCACCAGCAGTGTAGATGCTCTAAAAAAGCAGGATAAAATGAAAGACTGCATTATGAATTGGCAGCAGTATTTCATACTGGCAAAAACTAAAACCAAAACATCTGTTTCCCCTGATATTAAAAAGGTGGCTTTTTAACTATGCAGGACTTCAAGTAGATTTTTATTGCATCTGTAAAAACAGGAGAAAGTTCAGAATTTAAAAATAGAAATGGTGTAAGAGAAAAATAGTGGATGTGTCAAAAGGAGCACTTGCTAATTCTGTTTCAGGGCTACCTCTATTGCCCTCTGTGGCTAATCAAAAGATGCTTATCTTCTCCAAAAGAAGATAAGGAGAGAGAAGATTTTAAAAAAGAAACAGAAAAATTAATAAGTTGGGAAGAGCTTAGTAAGTTTAAAAGACGCCTGAGGATGAATCTATAAACTTATGTTAGCATCCACCATTGGACGAAGAAAAAGGTTAGAAACAATGATAACACCGTTGTATTCATGGAAATTAAAAAGCAAAATTAAGTTTAAGAAAGTTAGAAATGCAAGCGTCTATATCAAACAGGATGAGACCCTTACATTGTCCAAAACAGACACTCACTTGTGCAATAAAACTGTTTCTTCTTTAAAATGTGGCAATTCTATCAGCAGGAGTATGTTATTATTATTGATTTGGCTTTCATTTATTATTTTTATTTATTAGATTTATATGCCGCCCATTTCAGAGTTTGAGGCACCTTTATTCTGCCTTTATTATTGTTTACAAATAATTCAGGGCAGCAAAAATACATGATACTCCTTCCTTCTCCTAGTTTCCTGACAATAACAAACCTGTGAGGTGGATTGGGTTGGCCTGAGATAGACTGACAGGCCCAAAGTCATCCAAGCCAGTTTTTCATGCCTAAGGTGGAACTAGAACTCAGAGTCTCCTGGTTGCTTTTTTTCATTAGGGGAAGGGGCTCCCATAGGAGAAACACCTTTCTGTTGTGGTCCCCCAGCAGCCTGTGGAGCTGGCAGCGAAGTCAGACAGTGAGGAGGCTGGGGAGGACAATGGGCCTGTCCTGGAGTCAGGGGAAGGCCCAGACGAGGGCTCTGCATAGGAGGAGCCTGTTCCTAGTGCACGCATGCGAAGAACTGCCAGAAGGCAAGAGCAGCTAAAGCAAAAAAGGACGACTCGGGAGTAAAGCCAGGAGATGATTGGCCCCTCCCAGAAGGCTTAAAAGAGCAGTAACGGCTCTTGGGATCTTTGTAGGAAAGCAATGTTGCTACATTTGCTTCTTGTCAGCATCTCTTGCTTTTGAACTTTTGTCAAGAAAAGCATTTGGCAGGGTGCCAAAGTAGACAAAGGTTGGTGATAAGGCCGTTGGTGTTTATGAAAAATTTATTTTGGACTTAATTTGGACTAAGCTGAAAACGAAGTATTCTCCACCATTCAGTTGGAATTCAAGAAGCTTCTTGAATGAGAAGCAAAATGTTTTCAAGAAAAAAAAAAAAACTAAGCAAGTCCTTGGAAAAGCATTTTTGGTCAATTAGAGGGAGACCAGCTTGCAATAAAACTGGGAAAGACAGTTGCACAGAATGCCTTACCATTTGGAAAAGATCCTATGGCAGCAGAAGGAACACCAGCATAAATGCCACGGAAACCACCAGCCTTTTTAAATCCTTGGGGACTCTGCAGTCTAGTTTTGACTGTATCCAAAGGAAATAATGTCAGGTCCACACACACACCAGCCAGCCCACCAGCCTTCAAAAAAAAAAAGAAAGAAACAAGCAAGAAGAAGCATTATTAATAAAAAACAGTGATTTGTCAGAAGTGAAGACCACCTAATAAGCCAATTTATTTGAAAATCAGCCTTTGATATAGGCGGCCCAGTTCCTATTCTGTTCTGGGCCACTAAGTAATTTCATGTCATCATTTTTCGAATAGAAATCAAACAGACAATTTTTCAAGCAAAACAAAAATTAAGAAGAATGCTTATTAATGCTGGAGAATGAAAGTTTAATTAACATGTTTAAGTTGTAGCTATCCAGAATTATCACTGTCCCACTCTGATCTAGCTAAATGGGGGCGTACAGTAAAAATAACAAAACATACAAGCAAATTAAAAATACTTTCCAATATGATACAACAGGACATGTGGAAATGACACCCACAGAAGTAAGTACCTATACTGAATATTCGAAAAGAAAATAAATGAAAGCTATAGATTTAAACAGTGCCATTTGGGAAGAAAAATAATTAACTCGACATTTTATCACTGCTGCATTTGGACTTAATTGTTCTTCTCTAGGTTGGATGAAATGACAGAAACAAATCAGCTATTCCAATATTGATGGTAAAATCCAGGAAAGCTCATTACAATATGCAAACATAATGTCAACATGATGTGCCATTAGCACAAGAAACAGTTCTGAAATATAAATACGCAGCACTAACAACCATAAGACATGATCAGATAGCTAACATTTATCCACTGACAAAACTGTGCTAAGCCTAAATTATAAAGTCTCTACTGACTGCTTCTGTCTCAGTTGAGACAGCGGAGAGATTAAGGGACAAAAAGTGTAATTTCCATAAAGTGGGTGGGTGGAAAGCATCAAATTAAGGACCCAGGGTTTAAATGCTTTTGTGGTGTACAGGTCATATTTTATATTAACTGCCATGTGTAATTTTCAAGATTTTTCACCTTTTTGAAACAACAAATATTTTCATAAATCTAATCTGAAATCCCTGGAGATTCTCAATCATCCAAGTCATGGTTGTCCCAACAGTGCTTTTCCAAAAGGCAACTAGACTTTCTTAGTTTATTTATTTATAAAATTTATTGGCTGCTTATCTTACCACAGACTAACTTTGGATGGTTTACAAATATTTCGTTTCTAATCCAAGGGAAAGTGGGGAATGGATGGATTTATATTCTTTGCAGTCATCTGCAGAGTGCTAATGCCCAGAAAGTCCAGTTGTGTTTTAGAAAAGAACCATTAGTCTTAAATGTGAAAATTGACTTAATTACCATGCGCCCCAAAGCATAGCACAAATCTCTCCATTTACTATAAACAACTCATTCACCATGAACCATGCACCACACAACCCCAAATGTTCACTTCATCTGCCAGCAATCAGGAGTTCAACCCAGAGTTCACTGCAGTACAGGTAGTCCTCACTTATTGGCTGCCTCATTTAGTGATCATTCTAAATTACAATGTTAAAAAAAAACAGCTTTGCAACCAACCTTCGCATTTACAACCTCTGCAACAACTTGCATTCATATGGTTCCCATCGGGTGCCTCACAACTGGCACACAATTATGTGAGATATAAAGACCCAAATATTTTAATCCTCACTATTCATAAACAAGTCTGGTTCACAAAATTAAAGGTTTATTGGAGATAAAATGAAGAAAAATAAAAAGCGGTTGCAAGCGCAGCCTCTTAGACCCTTCCCAAATGGATTGAGTTCAAAGAGCGCAAAAAGCAGTTTTCAAGCTATACATTTTATACTCCTATACAATGCACGCCACGCCTAATAAGCCCTCCCAATTCCCCTCTATTCTCCTAAGTCATTCTCCAAGTTGTTTTACACATTAAAGCAGTGGTTCTCAACCTGCGGGTCGCGACCCCTTTGGGGGTCGAACGACCCTTTCACAGGGGTCGCCTAAGACCATCGGAAAACACATATTTTCAATGGTTTTAGGAATAATTTTATGGTTGGGAGTCAGCACAACATGAGGAACTGTATTAAAGGGTCGCGGCATTAGGAAGGTTGGGAACCACTGCTTTAAAGGGTCATCTTGACATTTCCTGCCTAACAACAACTATCTTATCATGTTTACTTTTACTTTTCACCTTGAGCGGATGTTCCTTTCTTACTGATATTGGTCTTGCCCAAGGCGTAGGTTCCTGTCTCCAAGGGAGCTTTTAGCAAGTCATAACACATTGTCTCTACTAATTACAATTTGTGGTCAGTTTGCAATAGTAAGAACATCATAGCTTTTTAATACATTAAACACTTTTATAAAAGAGTAACTTATTATTCATTTCCTTCAATTACAACCACCGTATTGTCTTAAAGTCACCTGATTGTTGTTTGTGTGCCTCAACTCTTAAGCAAAGTTAAGTAGAGAGGGCAGAAGTAAAATTGTATGTTGTCTTTTTTACTTCTTTTATCTTTCTTTTGTTTTTAACTTTATGTTTATCTTTTACTTATGTGAAAATCTTTAATATTTATTTTAAAAAAAGACTCATGATGTCTTAGAAAATAAAGAATAAAATCCTTAAGGCAATTAATATCTGTAACAAAATCACAAAACAGGTCCCAATATCCATATTAAACAGCCACACCAACTTTAGAAGTGCCATTTAATTAAAAATTCTGCAGAAGAGTACAACTTTGAATTTCTTCTTCAATACTAACCAAGTATTGGTTAGCACTACTAACCAAGCATAAACTGAAAAAATATCAAGATCTGGTATTCCTCCCCAAATTTCCAGCGGTGGAGAACTCTCATATCTGGGGACAAACATAAGTCGATGGGTCAGTTCTGAAAGAAGCAGTTCTACAAATGTTTAGGGCAATGAAACAATCTTATAAATTAAGCATTCTGAATTATGCTCAGAAGGCTACAGGAATCTAATGCAGGAGGCCCAAAATGGGTGCTATAGCTTTTATGTGCCATCACCATTGCTTTCTACATCAACTCAGCTTCTGAGTAGTCTTCAAAGGCAACCCCAAGCATAGGGCACTGCAGCAGTCAATCTTAGAGCTGATAATGTGGTAGGCAACAGCTATTCAATAGCCCAAATTGGGCAAAACACCCACAAGCATTTGCCTATCTACCGGTAGCAGTAGGTCTAGAGTAGTCTCAAGTCACAAATCTGGTCTTAGCGGAGAGTTGTTTCCCATGCAGAGTTGTAAATGGAACAGGCAAAGGCCAAATAGTTTCTGAAAAAAACAGACCTCTGCTTACTGGAATTAAACTCAGTTCCTTCCCATTCAGCCCTTGCAGAATCCAGACCTTGGGTCAACACTTCTATTATATCCTGTACTTGTCCTGAGATGGGTATCATCAACAACCCAATGACACCTCAAAATACTCCAATATCCTGATGGATGACAGCCCAGACTAATTCAGGAAATTCTCACAGGAAGGAGCAAAGGATTTATCAAAGAAAAATGAAAAAGCAACAAGCAACTGTCAATAACTTTAGTTCATATAGAATTAGTTTGCCTTGTATTGTTGGATTCTTTCACAGCAGAAGTCAAGGTTGGTCATCTTCAGCCATGATATCTCATTCAAAAAGTGCTCTAGCTTCAGTTAAAATTTTAATCAATAAGTTAATTACTCTTTTAATCTGCTTGGCTATTTTGCATGCATTGATTTCACTACTCCCTATCCTTTTAGCTCTTTCTCCATCAGAATTCTTATCTGTAGCAAGTGATTAAGAGAAGAAAAAGAAAATTGATCTGGTTTTAATCTAGCCATCTGGCAAAAGCATGAATCAAAAGTTACTAATTGGTTCTTTGGATTTGAAACTTTTGTATCTTATACGTAATTTAAATTCATGAAGTAGCTAATGTGGAGCATCTGCCAGAGAGTACAAATACCTAGATGCCTATTTTAACTGTGGAAAACAATAATGATTTTTTGGACAGCAAAGGAACATTGATACCCTTTCTGGAACTACTTTTAGACTTCTAAAAGAGAAAAATAGAAAGCTTTGCACAGAATTTTATATTTTTTTATGCCATTTCATTATTTTTGGACAGCCTGAGATAGTTTTAGACACCCGAATACCTGGGAAAATGTTTAATATGTTCATATTCTTTTGAATAATATATAGACTACACTGAGAAAACATATTCTTCTTAATGAAGGAATAATTTACCATGGTTAATCTATTTGTAAACAACCAAAAGAGTAAAAAAGCAATCTTACAAAAGGAGGAACTCTGAAAAAGATAACAGAATTTAAAATACCTACAAAGAATTAAAATCATTTATTAAGACACATAATTACAAACTGCTAATTAAACATGACATGGAGACAGAGCAAATATTAAACTATATAATTAAATGCATGCAAAATGTCAAAGAAGCAATAGTCACGGATCAATGGAAGAAGTCAATAACATTTATACCAAGCTATAGTCTTAGGGAAAATTTGGTGCAAAATGAAACATGGTATATGACTCTATTAACAACTGCCAGGATGGATAAATCAGCCACCCAGAGTCACTTGGTTGAGTTGGGTGGCTAAAGAAATCAATCAATCAATCAAATAAATAAATTGACAAGAAATGTTAGAAATGCCACAATAAAAAAGAATGCTGTATCTAATGCGGTGGTTATGTAAAAATCCTCAAAAGTATTAGAAAGAAATACCCTAAAAAGTTCAGAAATTAAATTTGATTTAAAACCACAAATATTTTTAGCAAATGTGATCTCAGAGAATAGAAATAAAAAATGTCATAAGACTTGCTGTTCAACATTGGAAATACAGGCATACGGCTCCATAGTTATTCAGTGGTTTGCAGTATTGATTAAAACAGATCAACTATGAATATGTTATGAATCATGGCTCCAATTCATTGGTACTTGTAAATGCGCAAATATATTTTGTGTATTTTGGGTTTTTTTCTTCTTTTATAACTTTATATACTCTACTTTTATTTTGTTTTTTGTGTTTGATTATGTGTCATCAAATGGCTGTCAACTCTTAACAACTTCATAGATTCTCCATTATGATCTGTCTGAAACCTAATCTTTAAGGTCTTCCAACAAGACAAGAATAGCGATCGTAGATATGGTCAACCTTTGGGTTCAAAGATGATACATTGTTGTGCAGTTCATGTGTGGACACTGGGGTAGCCCTGCAGTAAAGCTACTCCAGTGTCCGCACATGAACTGCACAACAATGAATCATCTTTGAACCCAAAGGTTGACCAATCTACGATCCCTGCTGTTGTCTTTTTGGAAGACTTTAAAGATTAGGATCTTAAAGAAAGCACAATGAGGGCACTGAAAGTTCATTATTGTAATAACTGTGGGTATTATTTTTATAAGACTGAGACACTACCTATTGCATGATCTTACACATATTTTCTTTCCAAAATGCCTGTCATACCACAGTGAATTCAGATGCATTTATTTTTAAATAATGTGCAAGTAATATCATACCACTAGCCTCTAAGTGGATAAACCCCATTAAATCTTCAGTGCCTTCTAAGCACAATAATATGCAGAAAGCTGAATGGTGGGCATATTCAATCAATTATAGTTCTCATTAGAACTTCACATACAATTCATTGGGAGGGAACTAAATTATTATTACTAATAAATTTTTAAAACATGGCCTAAAGTGCATGTGTTTTACTCTATAACAGAGATGTCTTCTAATCAAACTTAACTTCAGATTACAAAGGAACATCCATGCAAATAACTTGGTGGTGTCCTATCGAAATACTAATCAGGATTCACAGTATTCAGCTTTTGACCCCAGACAATGCTGACATCTGCTGAGTCTATCGTATTTGATATGATGTAAGGATTATTTCTAAAGGGGTCTTGTGCAAGATGATAGCTAGCAGCAGCATAATTAGGAAACTTGTTCAAAGTCAAAAAGCTCAGTGTCAAAAGGAAACTCAGTTCACGCTAAATCCAATAATTCCAAATTCTGGAAAGTGTTGCCCTTGCAGGATGTATACCATATGCCTGTTTTTAAGCCCTTTTCAGTAAGCTACCAGATCTGATCTGCAAAAAATCCGGTTGACACCAGATGGCAGCAAAAAAAAAAAAAAAAGACTCCCACTGGGGAGTTGTCACATTTTCGCACCATTCCCTTCTACCTTGCTTTTGCATATATACCTTTTAATACTTTTTAACTGTGAAGATGTCAGCAAAATGCCCCGCACACCAAGTGGGCATTGTATGCAAAATATCAGACGATCGTGGAGAGTTCAAAAGAGTTTAGCAGGCACAGGGCTATGCAGTTTAAAAACTCATAATTGAAAAATCTCGACCTCAAAGCCTTTTCAGAGGTTTTTCCTACTGGATCTTCCACCGATAACCAAGTTTATCTAGTGCGGGCTGTAAGTCTCCTTCACTCACCACAAGGGAGACCAAGAAATCCCCACGATCCATGCGTGCTCAGAAAACCATCGAGATGCGGCAACTACATTGCAACCTTGCTTCCCATGGCCGCAGCCATATTGGAAGCTTGCACCGCCTCTCTTAATATCACGTGAGCAGTTGCCTCTCCGAAGCGCTGGCAGATTTTTTTTTCCCCTCCAGTAGCGCATGCGCGCTGCCGACAAAGTACTTAAACCTTTCGCGTGTCTTTCATCGCTTCGCAATGGGTTTTCCTTTAGAAGTGGATTAGGGGGCTCGGCTATTGGGGGAGTGTAGGGAAATGCGCTTGCTCAAATCGTGGGAATTCGGATTTCTAAATCTTGTATGAATATTCAGTTTTGCCTGTGTGCAACAGAAGGCGCGTTTTTCAAGTGTTTTTGCAGAGAAAAAAAATGCTTATTTGTAAGGCAATGCAGAGGAAAGTAAGCAAATTCTCTTGCTCCCTTGTTTAAAATCAGTGTTTTTCAGCAATTTTTAAGATGTGTGGACTTCAACTCCCAGAATTCCCCAGTCTTTATTTAAGACTCCAAACAACATCTTTAAAAGTGGCTGAGGTTGAGAAACAACTGCTCTAAACGACAAAAGAGATGGCAGCAAAGGGATACTGGTAATCTGAGCAATTGTGCAGGTGTTTGCAGCCCAGATATGGTTTTAGCTGTAAACACCCCCCCCCCCACTTTCCCTTTAGTGATTCAAATTGCCAGCAATTATTTTTTTTCCTTCAATAACATTGATGCTTCCAATTGGCTCGTTTTCTTTTATTCTTGGTTATAAACATTTCCAAAGGTTAAAAAGCCAAACATTTTCCCTATGTAAACAAAGATACATTGACAGCAGTGAAATAGTACATGTGAGATACAACGTTTAATTATAACACAAAGGGGAATTTGTTTTGCTTGCTTGAAGCTGATAAATGATATGTACCGAGTGTTGTATATAATCTGAAGGTGTTAATCTTCACTTAATTCATGGCCAGCCCTACAGAAGCCTTCCCCCTCACAACCCACAAAGGGGTGGAAACAGCTGTTAGGGGCTAGTTGCACAACCATCTGTGAGAGAAAACCCATAATTAGTTGTGATTGCAGTAAATGTTGGAGAGATGCATTTTCTAGAGCATTTTCAGTACTTCGTCTTAGCCCACACACCGTGGATACCTGGCTGTGGTAGGGTCAACAAACTAAAATTACCTGTAAAAAGTATTTTTTCTATTCCAGGTAAGAAGTTATGCACAGGGCAGAAAATCAGTAAAAACAAGCCCCCAAAATTAAAGGCATGAGAGAAGAAACTAAAATTGCCAATACCATTCTGTATGCTTCTTTCATAGCTTTTTATGCTTGCTTCAACTATATCCATGTGCTGCTTTCTACACTGCCTTTTGCTCTCTAAATTTCTCACCGGTTTGTCAGCTTCCTTCAACCCCAACTTGTCATATTAAAAAGAATACATAGATTCTTCAGAGAACAATTCAATATTGTGAAAAGATCCTTCAATCTAGTGTTATGACACCATAAGGAAGGGAATACTGGTGGTAACAACCTAAATGAGTTGGAACAAGGATGTCAAACTTGTATCATCATGGTGGTGTCATGTATCATGACTTTTTTCCCCCTTCGCTAAACCGGGCATGGGCAGCACATGATGCATCCGGGCTTTGAGTTTGACACCCCTGAGTTAGAACACAGAACATCAGTATTTCCCTTTGATGATTTGTTTTTTAAAATAAAGAGCCTGAAACCTTGAAACAAATTTTGCAAGATCCTAATAAACCTGTGAGGTGGAGCTATACAGGTAGTCTTGTGGTTACTATGGCAATTGGAACCAGGATTGCTATTGGTAAGCAAAGCAATCATAACACACATCACATGACCTCATCATTTAGTGATGGCAATCCTGGTTGCCATCATAAACTCAGGACCCCACAAGTTGTTAAATGTCCCAGACAAGGAATGCAGTGGTGCCATGGATAGGCACTACGGAGTTGAGAAGCCATCAGAATCTGGACAGGTTAGGGGAGGCCTGGGAAGGGCTGATGGAGGTTACACATAGGTCAGGGGAGATCGTGGGTGGATGGAGAGGAACAGAAAGTCACAAATGGCAATCACATGACTGTAGGTCACTGTGACATTATCATCACAAGCCAGGCACCCAAGCCCCTGGACCATAATCATCTGTGGGGTTCTGTGATGGCCAGAACTTTGAGGATGTATCATAAATCTACTTTTTTGCAACACCATAACTTTGAATAATCACTGAACGAATGGACATAAGACAAGGACTACCTATGGGGATGCATTTATTGCCAGGTGTCCAATGTTTTAGACCAGGGTGTTCAACCTTGGCAACTTTAAGACTCGTGGACTTCCAACTTCCAGAATTCTGGAAGTTGAAGTCCACATGTCTTAAAGATTGCCAAGGTTGGACACTCCTACATTACACATTCTGCTAAGGAAACACCCAAAGAAATATAGGGGAAAGAGTTAAAACAGGGAAGAAATATCCATGCCAGTTACATGTAGTTTATAGTAAAGTGCATAGATGTAGTTTAAAATATGGCTTAGGGCAGAGGTGGTATTCAGCTGGTTTGGATCAGTTTCAGCAAACTGGTAGTAGAAATTGGGAGTGGGCCGTCCCGGCTCTATGCCGTCCTATTTAGGCCCATTTTTGAAGCCTGATGCATGCGTGGAAGACACGCGAGAGAGCAAAGCGCATGTGCGGAAGGCTGGGCGCATGAGCAGAAGGTGTGCAAAGTGAGCATGCACACGCGGGGCAAACTGGTAGTAACAAAATGTGAAACCCACTGCTGGTTTAGGGTCAACCAAGTTGCATTAAATGCTTCATAAGAAATAAGTCTTTTGAGAAGGGCTTTGAAGGAAATGAGCTCTGAGGGCATTTATTTTATTTCCTTTTTGTTTTAATTTAGTCAATAGACAATTTTGAATAATGTAGCAATAAAGAATAAAATCATTCACTTTTATATAGTGCATAAACAACACAGTGACAAGCAGATCTTTCCATAATGAGAAGTTCCTCTGTTCAAGTCTTTTTCAATTATCTGAACAGTCCTTTCAGCTGAAGCTGATAGACAGCTGAAATTGGGCTAAGATTTATTAACTTTGCTAAAGGATTTTCTCATATTTGCTATGGCTGAATTATAAAATATTTATTTATAAACAAACCAGTTAAGAGAAATGAAATCTGCCATCACTGCTGGCAGTGAGTGATTTAGCAGCTAAATGGTGACTTCCATTAAAGAGATGAACTTTTGAAAGAAATTTCATACATGAAAAAGAATCCCATTTATTCCTGTGCATTGAACAGAAATCAGCCTTTGTAAACTTTGGTTAATAAATCTATTTACATCACAGCTCTCTATTAACAATCTGAGTATGTTAGTATCAGAACATGAAAATCTGCTTTAATACAGACGTAAACAACAGGTTCATCTTATTCAGAAAAGAATTTCCCCAGATATGTCTTATATAAAATATGTTGCAATATTTTCAGGATCAGACTCAATAAGATTAGTAAGAGGTAAAGGTTTAAATATATTTCCTTTTATTTACAATAGGCATTCTATATTCACTGAATATTCACAGATAGAATCAAGGAAAAGGGTGCATGTAGCTCCTTATATATACAATGGGTGGAGCTATATGTGGGAGTGGTGAATTATGAATACATTAAGAAGTGGAGAATAAGTTAACCCCTGATACCCCGTTCATATACTATTTACACATTAGAGAATAAGGCATTTACATCTGACAAATCCCCCTCTAAATGCCGATTCGTTATGCAACACCAATTACATTCAGATTCAGGACAATACAAAACATACAACTTAGAAGTTAAATATTTATGTTGCTTAGAAGGTAAAGGCTTTGTCAATATGTCAGCTAATTGTTCTGAAGTATCACAATGCACTGCTTTGATAAATCCATCCTGAGATAATTGTCTCACATGTTTAAATTTTATATCTATGTGTCTGGACCTTTGTCCAATAGCATCAGATCTAGATATTTCAATGGCTGCTTTATTGTCTTCATGCATAACAAAAGGCAAAGCAGGTTTTTTCCAAACATCTGAAATTAAATCATTAAACCATACAAGGTTATTTGCAGCTTTGGATAAACAAACATATTCCGCTTCTGTCGTTGAAGTGGCCACTAGTTCCTGTTTACCAGTGTACCAGTAAACTGGACAGTCATTTAAGAGGAATATATAACCAGATGTACTTTTTCTACATGAGGTGTCTCCAGCCCAGTCCGCATCTGCGTAACATGTAAGCTTTGGTTCTTTATTGTCATTAGGTTCTAACATTAAACAAAAGTCTAGTGTACTTTTCAGATATCTTAAAATTCTTTTAACAGCTTCCCAGTGATACATTGTTGGTTTGCTGACATGTCTGGATAATAAATTGAGTGGTAAGGCGATATCTGGTCTTGTCCAATTAGATATATAAAGAAGTGAACCTATGATTGATCTATAAAATGTGTTATCCTTGAATTCGGGGGAAGATTCATCAGTATTTCTTAGAAAATCAGTTTGCATAGGAGTATCACAAGGTTTGGCATTGTTTAAATTGCATTTATTTAAAAGTTCTATGATCTTATCTCTCTGAGTAAGTTTGAATCCCCTTCTAGTCTTATTAATTTGAACACCAAGATATTTGTTTACTTTGCCTAGGGATTTTAACGAGAAATGTTCATTTAGCTTAGTTACAAAAGTTTCTCTTCTCTCTTTATGTTTTCCTATGTATAAAATGTCATCCACATAAATCAATACAAATTCAATGTAATCATCACCCTTTTTGACAAAGAAACAGTTATCAGCAGTGGTAGCGTTGAAGTCCATGGTTTTAAGTACTTTTACTAAACAATCATACCATCGTTTACCAGATTGTTTTAACCCGTATAAACTCTTGTTTAACAACCAAATCTCATTTTTGTTTGTGTATTGACTGTGAGGTGCTCTTACGTATATTTCCTTATCTAGTTTTGCGTGTAGATACGCAGTCTGTATGTCATATTGAAATACATCAAGATTGAGTGCTGATGCTACCACTAGAGCTGTTTTGACACTCTCTGTTCTTACTGTGG